ACACTTGCTTCAGATGCCTTGGCCTTCATCACTCTGCCCCCTGCTTCAGGAGCTGGTCACAGAGAAGCCAAGTGTTATATCCACCCACACCTTACTACTCATCTAAGTTTTATTGTTCTATTTGTGGTCCAAGTTACCCACCCCTTACCCTGCCATGGGTCAGTTCTATACTATTTGATGATTGAAATTGCTTAGCATAGTTTGATAGTCACAAGATTCTTTATTTCCTTCAAGAAATGATCCACCACATTCTTCAAATTAATTGTTCTCTGTGGAGAGGATGAAAACAGAAAAACATTTTTTTTTGTCTTTTTGAGACAGGGTCTCCCTGCAGCTCTAGCTGGCCTGGAACTTGCTATGTAGACCAGGCTGGCCTTGAACTCACAGAGATCTGCCTACTTCTGCCTCCCAAGTGCTGAGATTAAAGGCTTGTGCTACCACGCCCAACCAAAACCCATGTCTTATACTTCAGCTCCTCTAGCTGTAATTAACTGATGAACCCGGTAAGAAGACAGCAGCAAATGTGAAAATGCAACTCAGTAAAAATTAGAAATCAGGGGCTGGAGAGATGGCTCAGCAGTTAAGAACACTGGTTGTTCTTGCAGAAGACCTGGATTCGAATCCCAGCACCCACATGGCAGCTAGCAACAGTCCATAACTCTAGTCCCAGGGAATCTGACAGCCTCTTCTGACCTCTGCGGGCATTGCAGGACACAGGTGCACTTACCTACATGCAGGCAATACATGCATACACATAAAATAAAAATAATAAATAAAAATTTTTTTAAAAAAATTAGAAATCAGGGGCTAGTGAGCTGGCTCAGCAGGTAAAGGTGCTCACCACCAAGCCTGATGTCCTGAGTTCAATCCCTGGGACCCACATGGTAGAAAATGAACAGACTCTGACTTCCACCAGAGTACCACAGTATGTACTCACATGAGTGTATGTACACATACACATGCAGAATAAATAAGTAAAATAAAAATTTTAAAGAATTGTTAAAAAATTATAAACCAGGAAAAAATGGGCCTTGAAGATACCTCTCCCCTTTGTTCCGCACCTGTGATTTTCTCAGGGGCATGGCTTCCAAGGGGCGGAGTCTTTTGAGAGTCATACATTTCTCCTTTGAGCTTTTCAACCTTAAACACAAAGTAAATATCTTACAGGTTTCTCAACTTTTGTTTGGCTACATTATTGGTGTGTTTTAATAATACACTAAGAGGATCCCATTTCAGTTCCCACCCTTGTGAGGCAGCTCACAAAGGCCTATAACTCCAACTCTGGGGGTCTGATGCCTCTGGCCTTCTCAGGCACTTGCACTCACATGCACATACCCTCACAGAGACCCACAGATATATCTACATAATAAAAAATAATTAAACGAGAGGCAGAGGCAGGCAGATCTCTGTGAGTTCAAAGCCAGCTTGGTCTATATAGCAAGTTCTGGGTCAGCTGGGGCTATAGGGAGACCCTGTCTCAAAAAGACATAAATAAATAAATAAATAAATAAATAAATAAATAAATAAATAAATAAATAAATAAATAAATAAATAAATAAATAATAAAAATAAAAATAAAAAAGGGGCTGGAGAGATAGTTCAGCAGTTAAGAGCACTGACTGCTCTCGCAGAGGATCTGGGTTTAATTCCCAGCACCCACATGACAGCTAACAACTGTCTGTAACTCCAGTTCCAGAGAAATTCAATGCCTTCTGAACTCCGTGGGCACTGCATGACATGAGTGCATTTACATACATGCAGGTAATACATTCATACACATACAATAAAATAAATAAAATATTTTAAAAATAAATAAAATTAATTTAAAAAATTGAATAAAATATGCAAATATATTCTCTCTGAACAAATTCAACATATGGATATACAGAACAACAGGTAACATCTTCCTAAATGTCACAATACTTCCTTTTCTAGAGGTAATGCTACTTGTTACCAAACTTGTTCCAAAACTGCTTTATGCACACACACTGACATTAAACATATAATCATATTTATGGATATTAGCTACACAAACTTAGACTGAGACAACATGAAAAATCTCGATATGTTCATACATTTCTTATTTGATTGTATTTCTACTGTCACAAGATACATGTAATGCAAAATGTGCCCTGTTGGTTATTTAAAATGAGCATAGTTCAGTGGTGGTAGGCATGTTCACACTGCTGCACAATCATCTGGCTCTAGAACTCTTGTCTTGCTGGAGGCCACATCCACTCACCAACAACCATCCATCATTCCCTCCCCTCATTCCACTGCCTGTCCCTGTGATTTTGACTACACAAAGTGCCTCATATAAGTGGAATCACATACTATTTGGGGCTTTTTGAGCAGTGGGCTTATTTGATTTAGGATAATACATTAAAATTTTATCCATCTTATAAGTTGTGTGTGTGTGTGTGTGTGTGTACTAATGGGGTTTCATGAATAAGAGGCAAGTACTGAACCACTGTTTAATATCCCCAGCCTTCTTTCTACGTTTTTTTTTTTTTTTTAAGACGGTGTCTCATTAAATTGCCTGAAAATGAATATAGTCTAACACTGAACTTGTGATCCTCCTGCCTAAGCCTCTCTAGTACCTGGAATTACACTGGACCTGCTTAGAATGTCCTGCCTTCATGTAAATTAGTTCAGACACTATGGAAATCAGTTTGGAGAGTCTTCAACAGCTAAAAATTCAAGTCCCATATGACCCACCTATACCACTCCTGGGTATTTCCCCAAAGAAGTGCAGGTCAGCATAGAACAGAAACACCTGCTCGTCCATGTCTACCATGGCAGTATTCACAATAGCTAAGGTGTGGAAGCAGCTGAGCTGACCATCAGCAGATGGATGGAGAAAGAAAATGTAGTAGGTATACACAGTGGAGCTTCATTCAGCCATCAAGAACTAAATGACATCACTTTCCCGAAAACAGATGCACCTGGAGATCATTGTGCTAAGTGAGACAAGTCAGACTCAGAGAGACAAACATGGCATGCTTTCTCTCACATGCAGAATCTAGGTTAAAACAAAATAACATGAGAGAAGGAAGGGGTTGTTTGGGAAAAAGAAGGGGGTCAGAAGGAGGGCTGACAAGAGTATATGAATGCAGTCAAAGTATATGAAAGTGTGACACATGTATGAAAGTGTCATAAAGAAACCCGTTATTTGCACAACTAAGATTTGCAAATAAAAATAAATATAAAAGGAGACTGTCTTTCCTTTTAAGGATTGAAAAATTCCAGCCAGGCATGGTGGCACACACCTTTGATCCCAGCACTTAGGAGGCAGAGACAGGTGGATCCTTGAGTTCGAGGCCAGCCTGATCTACATAGAGAGTTCCAGGCTCGACCCTGTCTCAAAAAGACTAAAAAAAAAAAAAAGACTAATACACACACACACACACACACACACACACACACACACACACACATATTAAGGCTCACATTTTCTTGTTAACTTGTCAATGGATACTGGTGCTTTCCATCCTCTGGCTGCTGTGGAGTGCTGCTATGAAGTGAGTGTAGAGACGCATGCCTGAGTCCTCACTTTTACTACACCCAGAAGTAGAATTACCAGACCACACGTTGATTCTCTATTAGCTCTTTGAGGACTTCCATACTGTTTCCAGCAGCGACTACTGAGTGAAGGGACACCACCAGTAGCAATGCAGAGCATTCTAACTGGTCTACATTCTAACCCATATGTCATTTTCTGTTGTCTTAATAATAATCATCTCAATCAGGTATTTATGAAGTTTAAAGAAAATTTTCTTGAGCATTTAGCATATGTGAAGCACTGCATTAGCTACTAGAGATATGGTTATAAAATGAGTACAGTCTGGACATATATCCACATTAATGTGAAAATAGTGTTAAAATTCAAATAAACAGTCGGGCATGGTGGTGCATGCCTTTAATTTCAGTACTTGGGAGGCAGAGGCAGGAGGATCTCTGTGAGTTCCAGGCCAGCCAGGGCTACACAGTCAAGCCCTGTCTCAAAAAAAGGGGGGGGGATCAATAAAATTCTAAGAAGAAATGGTTCAAAAAGAACACAACAAAGTGTGACATTAATAACCTCAAATTTGGGGCTGGAGAGATGGCTCAGCAGTTAAGAGCACTGGCTATTCTTGCAGAAGACCTGGGTTTGAATCCTAGCACCCACATGGAGGCTAACAACCATCTGTAATTCCAGTTCCAAGGGACCTGATGCCCTCTTCTCTCTGCTGCAGGGATTGCATTACATGGGTGCACTTGCATATATGCACGCAATACATGCATACACATAAAATAAAAATAAAGCAAAAAAATTAATAATCTCAAACTTTTAGCCTTGGAGCATGCCCTTATTCTCAGGACTCAGGAGGCAGAGGTAGGCTCTATGAGATTGGGGGCAGCTTGGTCTATATAGCGAGTTCCACGCCAGTTAGGGATACATGGAGACCCTGTCTCCAAAATCCAATAATAATAATAATAATAATAATAATAATAATAATAATAAATAAACAAAAATTTAAAAAGTCTCCCCAGGCATGATGGCGCATGCCTTTAATTCCAGCACTCCAGAGGCAGAGGCAGGCAGATATCTATGGTTCAAGATCAACCTGGTCTACATAGTGAGTTCCAGGACACCTGGGGCTACAGGGAGACCCTGTCTCAAAAATACCAAAAAAAAATTTTTTTTGTAAATCTCAAACTTTTGCAAAGAGCCATGTTTTTAAATGGTGAATGTGTTAGCTCTATGTTGTTATCCACACCCTACATTTAAACAATAGCAGTAATGCTACTGTTTTGCATAGGTACTTAAAACATAAACTACAAACTCTGATAAAATGTATCTAGGCTGAATTCATTCATTATCTCAGTGACCTGAGATGCTATAGCCATCAGGACCAGTTCTTGAGGACCAGCTTAGGTGATGCAGAGCTATGTGGCTCATACTGCTGATGGCTTTCGGATACACACTGAAAACTTCCCAAGAACTAAATTAAACTGACCATTTCTCCAAGCACTTTTTTTTCACAGTCAAGCGATCGAAGCCGATTTCTCAAAGCCAGGATCTCCTCATCCAGTCTCTGGTTATGATCTTTTGCTTTCTGTAGCTCAGCTGCATCTAAAACAGAGAGGAACACAGTTTACTCCTCTAGGTCAAGGATTTGGTTTGGGAGGCACTAACTCTAAAGGAATGTCATTTCTGGCTCTTGTGTTAGTCCTACCACATTCTGTATATGTGGTTTGTCTACAGATGGGCGCTATGGACTAGAATATTCTACCAACCTATTGAAACAGAAGTTTTGTATTTCTCACACAATCTTAATGAACTTTTTAAGTATAGTTTCCAACAACAGAAGTTCTTCTAGGAGCTAGAAACATTTGTTTATTTATTCATTTTGTGTGTGTGTGTGTGTGTGTGTGGGTGGGTGCACGTGTGTATGTGTCTATCTGTGTCTGATAGTGTGTGTGCAGCGTGGGGTCAGAGGGCAACTTTTTAGGAACTGGCTCTCTCCTTCTACTTTATTTTGGCACGGTCTCTCTTTTCCTGTTACTGTGCAATATACTGGCCGACAAGCTTCTGGCCAAGTTTCCTGATGTTGCCTCCCAACTTGAAGTGGCAGAGCTGGGATTACAGATGTGCATCACTGCACCTGGCGTTTCTATTTTTACGTGGGTTCTAGGGATCAAACTCCAGTCACCAGACTTGTGTTTGCAAGCACTTTAACTCGTTTAGCTGTCTCTTCAGCCCTTATCTCTTTTTGCTTGTGAGCCTGAACCTTTAACGGCTTTGCCATCTCGGCAGCCCTTAACTTATTTTACTAGCTCTTTCCTTCTGCTCGCTTCAGATTTCATTTGTTCTTTTCAGGGCTCTTTTTTTTTTTTTTTTTTTTTTTTTTTTACTATATTAAGAGTTTTATTTTTATTTGAATTCTCATAAAAATACCTGCACAACAGTTGACAAATAGGGTCAAGAAACTTAAGAGGTGATAATTTATATATTCCCAAATTAATAATTTATATATTAAGAGATGATAATTTAATATTCCCAAATTTAGGGAAACTCAGAAACTGGAAGTTAATGGACAGAAGGGCTTAGACTTTGAGACTACTCATTGTGGATCAGAATCCCAGCCCCATGTTCAACAATTCTATATGTTCAACAATTCTATACTCATCTTTTCATATTTCAAGTTGCATTCTCTTTGTTGGTAAATTGTCACCTGGCTATCAACCTGAAGTGGGCATGGTGAGGGCCAAATAGGACATGCTATGTAATCTGAGTGTCTACATTGGTTGTATATGCATTAATACAACCATTGGGATGAATGACTCAATACTTTAAGTTCCCATAGCATGGGAAACTCCACACTCCTTGACTCTAGATAGGTCAAGGTGATACATGGTATTTAAAAAAATATCTGCAGAGTGAAGGATACATTTTTTAAGTTAAACTGTTTCACGAAGCATCTTCATCTAAGACTAGATTCTGATAATAGGGTCTTTTCAGTGAGAGTTAACTACAGCACAGCCTGAAATGGAGCACCCAGTGGCCAGTGTCCACAACAGGAAAAGCATTTCCTAATACAGTTTTAGGACTTAGCACTTGATTTTGGTGTTGTAGTGTGAATGAGTCATTGGAAGTTTAACTGAAGGGAAGGAAGGCTGTGTGGGTTGGATTATAACGCCCATTCAGGGTTCTACTGAGGCTGCAAAGAATGAAGTTTTCCTTGATCTTTTGGTCTTTTTGAGACAGGGTCTCCCTGTAGCCCCAGCTATCCTGGAACTCACTATGTAGACCAGGCTGGCCTTGAACTCACAGAGATCTGCCTGCCTCTGCCTCCCAAGTGCTGGGATTAAAGGCATGCACCACCACACCTGGCTCATTTGCTTTTCTTATTCTCAAATTTTAGATAAAAGTTTAGAGCATTTTGTGCTTCCTTGGTTTCTAGTATAAACATTAAGTGCCAAAAGATTCCCTCTAGCCACTGACTTAGCTGCATGCCACAAATATTGGTAATGTTTTGTTACCATTTTTTCTAGTTTAATTCCATTGTGGTTGAAAACATGCTTTGTATTATTCTGGTTGTGCAGAGATTTGTTTAATGGTCCAGGATGGTTTCTCTCAGCAAATGCTTCATGGGTATATGAAAAGTATGTGCATTCTGGCGTCTTCTACAAATATCAACTAGGTAATGTTGGTTAATAATATTTTTAGGCCTTCTACTGTCTTCCCTAGTTAGCTGCTCTATGAAGTAACAAGTAAGTAGTGTTTATTTTATAATCACATTCACACATTTTAAAAAGAATAATTAATTTTGGAATTATTTTAAACCGATAAACATCTTTTAAATTATTTTTGTAGTCACCATTGAGATAGTCAAATTTTGTTATTTTGTTATTTATTTATTCATTTTTCCCAGAGCTGAGGACCGAACCCAAGGCCTTGCACTTGCTAGGCAAGCGCTCTACCACTGAGCTAAATCCCCAACCCCAAGATAGTCAAATTTTGTAACAGCTGGTAGCATTCTTATGTTGCCATTTGAGGTCAGATTAGTTCATCCAACACTGACTCCAAGCTTACTGGCTTCACCCAGTGAGCAAATGTGTGGGGTATGGGTTTCTGTGGTCTTAGTACAGTATGCATTGTTTGTACTGATGACACGTTTTGGAAATAGACATATAAGGACTCAAATATCAGTTAGATCACTCACTTAACCATGCCATGACTCAATTTCCTTACTTATGAGATGGGGATAATACTATTTGCCACCTGAATTGTTGGGAGAATTAAAGATAATGCATAAAAAGCGCCCTGGCAGAGCACCTGCGGCTTGATGAGCTCTCTGTGATGCAAAAGAGCAGCTATGACCAGCAAAGGGCTACTTGCTATGTTCATTCAGTGGCAGTTTAAAGATTTATTTTATTTTTTATTCATGTGTCTCTCTGTGTGTATGTGTATGTGCACATGCATACAAGTGCCCACCAAGGCCAGAGGAGGGCACTGGATCCCACAGAGCTGGAGTTACAGGTGGCTGTGAGTCACCCAATGTGGGTGCTGGGATATGAACCTGGGTCCTCTGTAAGAGCAGGAAGTGCTTTTAACCACTGAGTCATCTCTGCAGTCCCTATATAATATGTTAAATATTTTATTTATTTTTATTTTTATTTTATGTGTATGAGTGTATTGCCTGCATGTATGTGAGTGCACCCATGTCATGCAATGCCTCGGAGGTCAGAAGAGGGTTTTGGATTCCTCTGGAACTGGAGTTGAGGACGGTTTGTAGCTGCCATGTGAGTGCTGGGAATTAAACCTGGGTCCTCTGCAAGAGCAGTCAGTCTCTTAACCCCTGAGCCATCTCTCCAGCCCCCCATATAACATTTTAAAGTACACATCCTATGCTACTGTACAATCTATTATTATTATGCTAATGACTCACCACTTCCTTTCAATTTTATCAGATTGTCTTTCAATTTCTCAATTTCTAGTTGAGCCTTCTTGAGTGCATAATCTAAAAGAAAAAGGAAATATATGTACAAGGAACAGTGCCTAGTACAACACACAAATTTTAGATGCTTCTCTTCTCTTTGAGCATTATCCTTTGAGTCTCTGCAAAAATGTAACCTTCACCCTTTTCTGGATTTCCTTCCAGTGTTCTTACTGCATCCTGTAATTACGCTATCGATGGATCTGTGATCACAGACTGCCTTCTCCTAATCACTCTCCCAGGAGATGACATACTGAAGAGTTTGAATCACTGAAGTTACAGGAATAGCTGAAAGTTTAAAGCATGGTGCTGTCAGTTGAGCAAGAAGAAATTTAAAATAATTTGCTGCAATCAATATAACAGGCATGCCTCATTTGACAATGGGGGGTTTGTTCTGAGAAACTGGGTTCAGAAGTTTCATCTCTGTACAAACACCACAGGGCACACTCACATACCCTAAGATGGCTATGATGGTCTTAGGTGACTTAGTTTTGAGACCATTACTGTATATATAAGATTTCTTTAAAAAAAAATTTTAACTTTATTTTTGTTTTTATGTGTATCTGTGTTTTGCTTGCATATATGTAAGGGCACCCATTTCATACAATGTCTGTGGAGACCAGAAGAGGGCATTAGATCCCCTGGAACTAGAGTTACAGCGGATTATTAATGCCATGTGTGTGGTGGGAACTGAACTGGGTCCTCTGGAACCTATATAAGATTCTCATTGACCAAAATGTCACTATGTGGCAAGTGGATTGTGTTGAGAATTTTGTCAATAGTTGTTAGAAATGCAAAAAATAACAAAATTTCTGGAAATACTTTTTGGTACTATGTTAGTCACTTTTCTCATTGCTGTGACAAAGAGCCTGACAAAAGCAACTTACAAAACAAAGCAGGAGCTGGCGAGATGGCTCAGCAATTCAGAGCACTGACTGGCCTTGCAGAGGACCCGGGTTTGATTCCCAGCACCCACATGGTGGCTAAAAATCACCCATGACTCCAGTTCAGGGGAATCTGATGCCCTCTTCTGACCTCCGAGGGCACTGCATGACACAGGTGCACCTACACACATGCAGGCAATACACTCATACACATAAAATAAAAATAATAAATAAAATGGGCTGGGGATATAGCTCAGTTGGTGGAGTGCTTGCTTAGCATGCACAAAACTCTGGTTACACTTGGTGTATGGAGAACAAGTATGGTGGTGTACACCAGTAATCCTAGCACCAGGAGGTGGAGGCAGGAGGACCAGAGGTGGAAGGTTGTCCTCAGCTACATTTTGAGTTTGAGGTCAGTCTGGGCATCATGAGATCCTGCCTCAGAAAAAAACAAAACAACAAACTTTTTAGAATGATGCACAGTCAAACGTACTACACATCAAGTTTAAAAAACACTAGAGACAACTAAATCAATTCTCCTTAAGTGGCCAGGTCGGCTTCTCTGGCTATCAGTCCCCTCACACTGATAATAACCCTAGAATTGTACTGGCTGTAAGGTTTTCCTTCTTTTTTTATATATTTTATTTACTGTTTTTATTTATGTATATGAGTGTATTTCCTGCATGTATATGAGTGCACCCGTATCATGCAATGCCGCAGAGGTCAGAAGAGGGCTTCAGATTCCCCTGGAACTGGAGTTAACGACAGTTCATAGCCACCATGTGGGTGCTAGGAGTCGAACCTGGGTCCTCTGCAAGAGCAGTCAGTGCTCTTAACCGCTGAGCCATCTCTCTAGCCCAAAGTTTTCTTTTTTGAGACAAGGTCTTGCTATATAGTCCAGAGAGGAGTTCACTCTGTAATCCACATTGGCCTTGAACTTACAGTCCCCCTAAAGTGTCGGGATTCCAGGCATGTGCCACTGTGTGGGGCTTGGTTAAGTTTTGGGGGACCTTTCTACTGGACTCACAGGTTTATTTTCTATGTCAGCATCTTTAGTAATTATACCAGATAACTTTCTTTTTTGAGGGGACTGGCAATAATTCACTTGATCTGACACCAAGATTAGTAACAGCAAAAGAATTAAAACGTAAATTCAGCTGCATAATATTAAAACCTTTTGTCCATCAGACAGAATGAAGGTCCATGGATAGGGAGGAAGGATTCACAATCCACGTGTCTCATGAGAGATTAATATGCAGAATGTTTAATTTAGAAATCCTACAATTGAAAAGCAAAAACAAAATCTGGTTAAGAAATAAGAAAACCAGCTAGGCATGGTGGTGCACACTTTGCCTTGGGAGGCAGAGGAAGGTGGGTCTCTGTGAGTTTGAGGCCAGTTTGGTCTACACTGGGTGTACTAAGTTAGCTTCATAGTAAGACCCTATTTCACACACACAGACAAAACCAAACCAAAGGAAATAGGAAAAATATTGAATATATATTTCATCACAGAAGATAAACAAGTGACTGATAAACACATAAAAGATACTGAATATCATGATCCATTAGGGAACTAGAAGCCAAAACCATAATTAATTGATTGCTATTATTATGATTGTTAAAAAAACACCCTCTCCCATAGCAAGGGTTACCTCATCCTGGGGACCCCCTTCCACTAATAAAATGGAATGCTACTTACCAATAAAAAGGACTAAAGGAACCACACCTGTTCACGGGTGAATCTCAAAGAAATGAAAGATGGTGAGATTCTAGCTAGACGTCCAGAAAAGATGACTCCATAGAGCTAGAAAGTAGGTTAGTGGTTTCTTGAGGCGAGGGTGGGGATGGAGAGGGAATAAATGGGCCAGAGAATTTGTTTTTGGTATTTAAAATACTTAGTTTATTAAGAAAGGGAGTGGAGCTGGACGTGGTGGTGCACACCTTTAAGGCCAGCCTGGTCTACATAGTGAGTTCCAGAACAGCTGGGGCTACAGGGAGACCCTGTCTCA